GTCCCTGGGGTCTTTGACTGTGGAAGAGATTGCGTTGTTCATGTTGATCCCTTGGGGCTTATGAAAAGGTTTTTTGAGATGTGACTGACTCTGATGCATACTTTTGCCATGAGGTGACACCCTCCACTGGCTTCAGCAGAAACCAAACCCATAGCCCACTTTGAGCTTTCAGACTTTTCCTGCTTCAGGTATTTTGTCATAGTGATGGAAAGTTCCTACACTCTCTGAAGATTAAGCCCTGCCAACCTTTAAACATTGCCTTTCAATCTTTTCTACTAGGTATAAGCTTTTAGTTTCTTACCTAAAAATCACTTAGGAGTTATTTCTACTTGGTATTTCTAAACATTATGAAGGGAAACAATCCCTTCAGCAGTGAACGACAGGCCAACCAGGGAGGAAAGAATGCATCTTTCGGTAGGAGAAAAATACTTGTACACCAAATGATGGCTCCTGGTACCCCAGATGGAGCTGCCCCATCAGTGTGGGAAAGGGCAAGAATCAGCAGCTTCTGTCAAGTCTGGGGTGTTGTTGCAATCCTAAGAGGTTCTGGAGCTGCAGATGAGGAGGACGAGGGTAACACCTTCTCCAAGAGATGAGCAGACCCAAGAGGGCCCCGGAAAATGAAAGTAGCTTTAAACCCCCACACACCCATTTTTATTTTTTGAACTTGGCCCCCACCCCACACAGAGGGTATCAAAGAGGTCCACATATCTCTTTTCCCACCTCCTACCTGAGGAGGAGAATGCTAATCAAAACAAGTTGGTAGCCCACAGCAGGGCGCGTTGGGCTCCAGTTTCTATAGAAACCCAGCTCTCCTTTCACCTTTCAATACATCTCTCTGACTCTTGACAAACTATTCCTGGAGACATGGACAGCTCTGATCTGAGTTGCCAATGTTCTCTCTAGTCCTCAGCATATGTTGCCTGATGTGTGCTGGGTAATAATAGCCATTGGGTACTGTGCCAAGTCTCAAGAGAGAACTTTGCAGGCTTGATTCCAGTGTGTCCTTGCATCCGTCGCATGGGGTTTCCACTGATTGTCAAACAAAAAAGTCCATTGAGGCAGTTGGCCACACCCATTGTGGATTACAGACATCTGAAGGAGTCTCAAGGACACCCAAGGATACTGAACTCCATGGCTCAAGTCCTTTATATAAACTGCTGCAGTGTTTGCACAGAACCTACACACGCCCGCTGAAGACTTTATGTCATCTCTAGGTTACCTACAGTACCCAGTGCACTAGCAATGTTACACACATAGCTGTTTACTCTGTTGTTTGGAGCAAGATGACAAGAAATCTGTATGCATCTACTATAGACACAACTTAAAAATAATATTTTACTTGTGTGTGTGCATGCAGGCGTGTGCATACCACCACACTCATGTGGATGGCAGAGGACAGCTTTTCTGGCATCGGTTCTCTCCTTCTACCTTGTTTCTTGAGGCAGGGTCTCCATTCTTTCTACCACTGTGCTGTTGACTCCGACTAGGCAGCCTGTGAACTTCCAGAAGCTTCTCCCATCCTTGGCAGGACTATAGATGCACACTGCCACATCTGGCTTTTTATGTGGGGTCTAGAAATCAAACTCCTGTCATCAGGCTTACATGAGAAGGGCCTTTACCTGCTGAGCCATCTCACTGGCCCCAAAAGGAGTATTTCTGATCCATGGTTGGTTGAATCTGAGGTTACTGGGGCTCACTGTAGTTTCTCTGGACTGCTGTAACAAAGTACCGCAGAGCAGATAGCTTACACAACAGAAATCCATGTTGTACCGTGATGGCAGCTGGAGGCTGAGAGCAAAGTATCAGCAGGGACAGCTCTCCCTGAGGCCGAGAGGCCGTGCTAGGCCTTTCTCCTTGGTTTGTAGAGGGCACCTTCCCCGTCCCTCTCTGCCTGTCTGTCTCAGTGTCTAAATGTTCCCTTTGAATTAGGACATAGGCCATACCGGATTAGGACCCCACCTCAATGACCTCTATTTCATCTTGATTTTCTTTAAAAAGGTCACATTCTTTGTGTGTGTGTGTTTGCATGTTTGTGTAGTTGTGTGCATGTGTGTTTAGGTACATGTGTATGTATGTGTGTGCAGAGGACAAAGGCTGATGTTGGGTGTCTTCCTCTGTGACTCTGGACCTTATCTTTTTTTTTTCAAAAAAATTTTTTATTATTTTTATTTTATGTGTATGAGTATATTCCCTGCATGAGTGTAAGTGCACCTGTGCCATTTGATACCCAAAGAGGGCAGAAGAAGAGGGTATCAGATCCCTGGAACTGGAGTTACAGAAGGTTGTTAATGGAATTCATCCACTGGCTAGGCTGGTTGGCCGGTGAGCCCCAGGAGTCTCCCAGTCTCTACCTCCACAGTGCCTGGCTTTTATGTGGGTTCTAGGATCAAACTCAAATCCTTATGCTTACACAGCAAGCACTTTATGACTGAGCCTTCTCCCCAGCCCCTCAAGGTCACATTCTGAATTTATACAGTCTCTTCTGGGGAGTGAGACATGAACAAGCCACATACCAGGCTCTAGCCAGACAGGCCTGGGCTGGTCTTTCAGCTCTACTCTTACACCATTAAACCTTCGAATAACATTCAGAATAACAATGTGATCCCTGGAGATTTGTGTGGGGATGAAATGTTTGGTATTTCACATGGTCACCACACCATAGTACTGAGGATGGGAGCAGAGGTAGGGGCTGCTTGACCTCAGGTCCTCAGTCCACCTGAGCACCTCACCGGTCACTACATGCTGGACTGGGCATGTACACAGCAGACCTCATCAAGCCCATGTGTGTCTCTCTCTGCTGCTATTGGAGCTCGCTCTGCCCACACAGCACATTGCTGAAGTGCCAACACTAAATGCTTCAGGAACAACCGTCAGGGATAAGGCCCGGGACTTAGAGAGTCCAGAATAATAATTCCCAAGTGTGTTGAGCAGCTGCTGCCAAGTGCCAACGAGCACGACTCTGACCTGCCCTTCTTCTTCGTCTTTTTCTTCTAATTATGCTCCTCGGGGATATCGCTCCAGTAAGCGATCTGTAGACAAGTTCTTTCCTTGAGTCTAGTTTCCAGGGACTCTAAGACAACGAGAAAGCAGAGGCTTGGACAGTTACGTGGTCTGGGTCTGAATATACTCTTAAGGGACGATGGGCCCAGGATTTGAGCTGTGCTTTCTTAGGTTCTAGAGCCTCTGAACCTGATCTCCATTTATCCTGTCTCTAGTCCCAACGCCCTTATACACCTGCTCTCTCTCATTATGTTTGTCCTTTGACCTCAGGAAGGTTGTTTTGTAGGGAAGGAAAACACCCTCTCCCCTTTTCTCTCCTGAAAACTCGGCCTCCCTGATTTACTAAGCCTGGTCTCTACTCTAGAGTGTTAGACACAGAGTGGTCCCCTTCCACAGGCTCCTCCATCCATGTGATAGTGTTAAATGTCAACTTAACACAATCTAGTCACCTGGGAGGCAGGCCTCTAGGCTTATCTGTGGGAGATTATATTGATTGCACTAACTGATGTGGGAAAACCCATCTTAACTGTGGGTAGGACCAATGCTGGACATTCTGGACCGAAGAAGAGGAAGCAAGCTGAGTGTGGGTGTGATGTGACCAGTTGCTTCAAGCTCCTGCTGCCTTGATTTCCCTGCCATGATGGGCTGACTGTACCTTGAATTGTGAGCCAAAATAAACCTTCTCTTGTATTGCTTTTGTCAAGAATTTCATCACAGTAAGGGAACAGTAACAATACACATGGAGATACAGCGGAAATGTCTCCCTGTGATTTTTTTTTGGGGGGGGTCTTTTTGAGGCAAGGTCTCCCTGTAGCCCCAGCTGGTCTGGAACTCACTATGTAGGCCAGGCTGGCTTCGAACTCACAGAGATCTGCCTGCCTCTGCCTCCCGAATACTGGGATTAAAGGTGTGCACCACCACGCCCGGCTCTCTCTGTGATTTCTAAAGACAGCATATGAAAAGGATATAGCTTCTGCCTAGCTTTCTCTTGCCTTGGAGTTGCTTGTCCTTGGGACCCTGTGTGTCCATTAATTTCTTCATCGCTGCGAGCAACATATTTGAGAGAAATTCAAGGGAGGGATTATTGTATTTTAGGGTTACAGAGGCATCTGTCTAGAGTCACTTGGTCCATGCACTTGGGAGAACACAATGATGGCAGAAGTGTGTGGCACCACTATCTTGGGGCCAAGCATTCCATACGGTAGCCTGTGGGGACATTTTATAGTAGAACCAACACATTTGTACCATGCTGTGAGGAAGTCCACGCTAGTCCCTGTGGCAGCAGCATGTGCAGAGGCCTCCACAGAGAGAACAAGTTCCCCAGCTGTCACAAAGCACCAGACAAGAGGAAACAAGCCTTCAGAGGTTCCCTGTCCCAGTCTTTGAGAATCCCAGCTGAGGTCCTAGGTGCATGGAAGGAGGTAAGCCATCCCAGCTGCGTCTGAGCTAAAGTCTAAACTCACATAATCTGTGAGCAAAAAAAATACTACTCTGAGCAGCTGGAATTGTGTTGCATTTGGTCCTGTGTGTGTGCCTGTGGGTATGCACACGTGTGTGCACGGGTAGAGGCCAGAGGTCAACAGTGGGTATATTCCTCAATCATTTCCCACCTTATTTTTATTTATTAATTTTATGTGCATGAGTGTTTTGCCTGCATGTGTATAAATGCTCTGTGTGTGTAATGTCCATGGAAGCCAGAAGAGGGTGTTGGAGCCACTGGAACTGGAGTTATGGGTGGTTGCTAGCTGCTATGTGGGTGCTGTGAACAGAACCAATGTCCTATGTGAGAGTAGCCAGTGATCTTACCAGCCGAGCCATCTCTCCAGCCCTAGCTGAACTATTTAATTATACAGTAGTAACAGCCAAACACCCTTGAAAAAGAAAA